ATAAGGTTGGCTAAAGGTTTGTCAGTTTTAGTTAATCTTTCAAAGAACCAACTCTTCGATTTGTTGATTCTTTGTATTGTATTCCTTGTCTCAATTGCATTCATTTCTGCCTCCTGCACCCTTCATATTCCTGCCAGGCCCTAGTCCTTCAGCAGGCACTGGCTTCTCTTTTAGAGGTATTCAAAAGCAGGCTCTGGCCTAGGTATTCTCATGGTCTCTGACAAGGTATTCGCTTCAGAGTCTTCTCAAAGGATAGAGGCAGGTCATACATGTAGGTCACAGTGCACATGCTTACACATATTTATACGTAAGTCCCCGTGGAATCTCCAAGGGGTACACAGATCACTCCTGTCTTTCCTGTGTCTCCCTGACGTCTTGTCCTGAAAAGAGAGCTCGGGCTCTCAGGACCTACAGGAGTGCACTGCAGGTGGCCACCCCAGCCTGGAGATACTGAGCATTTCCTCTGGTCTCCAACTTCCAGGTTCACAGGTCTGTCAGTGTCTTCCTCCCCTTCCAGGTTCTGCCCCCACACAGGCCTCATCATGACCTTCAGCTGGTCCCAAGAAGGTGCTTGATGAGAAGCTGTCATTTCCAGTGAGATCAGAGAAACCCCATTTAGCTGGACAAATCCTTGAGTAGGAATCAGGAACAAAGAAACAGAAGAAATCATGACTGGGCTCTCCTGCTTTTCCTTCTCTATGAAGAGCAAGTCTGGGAACCTGGAAGGAAGCTCCCCACCTCCATCCCAGGCTCCTAGGGCAAAGAAGGTGAGCCGGCCCCAGCACCCGGAAGGAAGCTCCCCCACTGCCATCCCAGGCTGCTAGGGCAGAGAAGCTCAGCTGGTCCCAGAACTAGGAAGGAAGCTCCCCACCTCCATCCCAGGCTCCTAGGGCAGAGAAGCTCAGCCAGTCCCCATGCTCGGAAGGTAGCTCCCAGCCTCCATCCCAGGCTCCCAGGGCAGAGAAGCTCAGCTGGTCCCAGCACCTGGAAGGAAGCTCCCCCACTGCCATCCAAGGCTCCTAGGGCAGAGAAACTGAGCCAGTCCCAGCACCCGGAAGGAAGCTCCCCTGCTGCCATCCCAAGCTCCTAGGGCAGAGAAGGTGAGCCGAGTGGGTTCCAGAAGCACTCCCCCCACTGCCCCCGTCAAAATGAGAAAACACATAAACAAGCCTCAAAAACAGACTTCCAGATCACCTACAGCAACCCCAAAGGGAAACGAGATGGAACAATCTGATATTCA